TGGCTATAAAATTTACGTCATTGGTAGCCAGTTCTATGACTAAATGACTACAATAACAATTTCAAGAAGTACAAACCCGACAAGTCCATGCTATAATGTCCTACGGAAATTAAAGAAGATCACGTGTAATACGTTACACATAAAAGTATGAAAGTTAAAATATAACTACCCACACAACAAAGTAAACAAAAACAACTTTTTGAATGTCCAAAATCGTGAGGTAAAGTGATCGTGACCCACGAAAATAATAAAACATTTCAAGGAACACGACACATCTCACTACGTCTAAAATTTTTGGCTATAAATGTGCCAGCAATTAGGTAGAGCAACTTTTTTGTGAGCTTTGTCAAACTTAAGGTAAGATTACAATACGTTAACTGCTGATTTACATTTTCATACCATTGAGCAGATCGCTATTCCAAACAGATTAATAAATAGTTAAGTCGGGATCTGCTTTGATTAAATTGATTATTTTGAGCTTGAACTCAGATTTTTATAAAAATATTTCCATTTGAGGAAAAATGGAAATCGTTTTCGTAGAGCCTTATTTCCAAATGGAAGAAAACTTCTTATCTTGATTAATGTTCAAGTGTATGTTTTTATCAATAGATTATCTCTAGAATTGCCTTTGTTTGTTGCCATTATTGTTTAATTTTACTAGATTTTTTCTCTTTTATTCAAGCCCTTTCCTCAGATTTGTGAATATTTAGTATTTTTTGTAACTTGTAGTTTGTTAAACTTTCTTTACTTATTTATTGCCTATTACTCTCACTGCTATCCCAAATTTTAGACATACTACTCACACTTCCTCTAAGGGGAATTCACTTATCTCATCTACCTAGGGTATCAAAAGGATTGAGCTCTGGTATGACTCTTTCCAAATTAACATGTTAATTATATATAACAGCGCTACAGGTCTTGTAGGCCCCTGGCTTCTAAAAACTTATTTATTTTCCCCTGGTTATTTTCCTCCATTTTTTTTGGTCCCATGCTTTCTCTCTCCATTTTCTCACGCCTATTTCTGGCAAGTCTTGATTTACTGCTTCCAACCATTTCTTCTTGGACGTCCTCTTCTTTTTTCTTCATTTCTTCCTCCTTTTAGCCAATCCTTCACAAGCCATTTAGCCCTTTGAGCTCGTATTTTTGCCGTAATTGCTGGTTTTTTTATACATCCTCATTATTTCTTAATTCATTTATCTTCTTCAAATATTTTCTGCCTGCTTTATTCCTTGGAAGATTTTTCTGAGTACCTTTCTTCCCCAGACCTCTACTTTCTTTTCTTCCTGCTGGTTCATAATCCACGTTTCACTCAATACATCACTTAGGGTCTGATTACTGTCTCGTAGACTCATAGTTTAGTTGTTCTTGACACATTTTTTGCTTTCAGTAATGAATTTAGTGACCCTATCGCTCGGCTTACCTTCAATAATCTTCTGTCAATCTCTTTTTCCTCTTTTTCCGTGTTTTTCGTGGCGCGCCATCGGAGGTTAACACTTAGGTTGCGGTTGCTTAAGAGCTTTCTCATTTTGATGAATTTGGATCTTGCTATTTCAATTCGGATCTTAATCTCTACGTCAGGGTCCCACTTATCATTTACTGTATATCCCAGATATTTAAATAGGTGTACTCTTTCAATACGTTCGGCTTCAATATTCAGGTCGATATGTTGAATGTTCTTTTTACTGATCACCATAAATTTAGTTTTCTTTCTATTGATCTTCAGTTCAAATCGGTTGCCAGTTGTATTTACTCTATTTAGCATCATCTGTAAATCTTCGATGTTATCGGTCAGTATAACAGTATCATCTGCATATCAAAAATTACTTATTGGTACGCCATTAATCTTGATGCCCTCGTTGTACTCTTCCAGTGTCTCTAGAAATATTTGTTCCGGGTACAGATTGAAAAGCAATAGAGAAAAATACAGCCCTGTCTAACCCCTCTCGAAATGGTTACGTTTTCGCTCACCATATCTGCATTCTTCATGTGGGCTGTTTATTTCCAATATAGATTTTTTATAATGTGGATGTCCTTAGTGTTAAGTCCTGTAAGATGTAGTTCTATGAGTTTGTCATGTTTGATAGTATCGAATGCTTTCTCATAGTCGATAAAACAGGCGTAAACATCTTTCTGTTGATACACGCATTTTTAAATCAAGACTTGTATTGCAAAGAGGGGCTCTCGAGTTCCAAAACCGCATCTAAAAAAGAACTGTGTTTTACTTATGCTGTGTTCTAATTTTGCTCGTATTCTGGAATGGACAATACGCAAGAATACTTTAAGGGTGTGACTCATTAAACTTAAAAGGCGATATTCACTATACGTCTTAGAATTCGATTTCTTGGGAAGGGGCACAAATGTAGATTTCAACCGGTCCGATGGAATTTGACCAGTATTATATATCTTATTAAATGGTTCCAATACTACATTCAGGTTGTTCTCGGTAAAAACTTTTGAAAATTCGACTGGTATTTCATCGCATCTTGTTGCTTTCCCATCTTTCGTTTGATCTATAACTTTTATCACCTCACTTTTCAATATTTTTGGTCCATTCAGATCAAGAGTGTTCGTAGAAATATGATGATAATCCGTAAACAAATCTTTTATTTAATTTGCCCAAATCTGTAACTATCTTCTATATCTACAATAAGTTTATTGTTTTCGTCTATTAACCTACCAAACTCTTTTTTCTTGTAAGTATAAGTAAACTCCTTGATTTTTTATGCATGTTAAAACTATCGTGTCTTCGTTCTAGCTCTTCTATCTCTTGACATTTTTCTTGTAACCATTTCTCTTTGGATTCTTTTATCTTTCTGCTGACAGTTCTATCCAGTTCTTTATATTGTTGGAATTATTCTTCTTTTCCCTCCTTCTGTCCATGAGGTGTAATATTTTATCTGTCATCCATTCGTTCTTCTTCTTCCGCTCGTAGTCACCAATTACTTCTTTCGCACCCTTGCATATAGCGTCCCTTAAGTTGATCAATCTTTTTCAATATCATCAGTATTGGTTGTTAAAGCAACATTACTATTAATGCTATTTGTAAGCTTGACTTTTATCTCGGGATTTCTAAGTTGATCCATATCTAATCTTTTGTTATTCTGTTTCTGGATTAAGGTTTTTAGTCTGACTCGTAATTGGGCTACAAGAGGATTATGATCAGAGTTTATATCAGCTTCAGGATATGTTTTGGCTGATATTATTGCGTTACGGAATCGTTTGTTAATTGTTATGAAGTCTATCTGATTTCTAACGAGGTACCCAGTCCTGTCCTGTGGTGACCTCCAAGTGTACAATCTTCTTAATGGTAACTTAAACCACGTATTAGTGATAATTAAGTTTTTCTCCTGACAAACTGTATTAGTCGATCACCTCGCTCGTTTCTTGTTCCCAACCCATACTTGCCAACTACTTCACTGACTTCGCCTCTTCCTACTTTGGAGTTAAAATTCCCCATTACCATGGTTATGTCTTGTTTCTTTAGGTTTTTTATGATTTCGTCTAATTGTTCGTAAAACTCTTCAACTTCTTCATCAGTACTCTCAGATGTGGGAGCATAAACATGAATTATATTTATGTCTAGAGGGTGCGCACTTATCTGGATCAACATGCAGCGTTCTGAATATCGATTAAAATGTTTTATATGTTTTTTGATTTTATTATTTACTAGAACCGCTACTCCATGCCTATGATTGACATCTTCTTCTCTGCTTCATTAATTGCGTTGTTTAGTTTTCCAGTCTGATAAAGAGTTCTTACGTTTCATGTAGCTATTTTAACAGTATTTTTTCTGATATTTTTATTTGTTTTATCCAGTCGCATATTTCCCACACAAGGCCTGGTACCCACCGTTGCGTGGCTGGTCTCTGATTACACATCATTCAGCCGAGAGCTCGACAACGCCGGTTGCTAATCGGGTCGCATGGCATATCATCTTTAAATCTCCTATTGGTCATGATGGTTTTACTAGAAATATATAATGTGGTAGTCATCCCGTGGCTTTCCACATCCTTGTGCCGTTGACTAGTTAATAGTTCCTCCGCCTTCGAAGCCGATTTTTCAACTCCAGGACAAAAGTGTGAGGAATTTAAGAGTGTGTGGATGGGGAGCGGCACAAGTTGCGCGGTTTGTGTGTAGGGTGCGCGACATGTACATGCAACACATCCCTCGCGCAAAATGGACCTCTTTCCATTTAACACGGTCTAGAGGACTCATCCGACACTCGGCAACACGCGGTGATATCAATCGGTGAAATTTTCGCCATATCGGGCTACCCTCACTTAGTTTAGCCTGCAGACCATTGCAGTTGCCCGGGGTGTGGCACGTGGAGCCATAAGTAAGATTTAGTGTCTTATGAGGACCAGTTATCAAGAACCATCTCCCGTCTATGACGCTCGATGTGGTCGTTCCAATAAAAGGTACTACCTCTATAACACAACCCTACACCCCAAGAAACCAACAGGAAATAATTTTATGAAATTATAATTTAGAAAAATTTCCAAAATATTCATTTTAATATATTTTTGTAAAATTTAGTTTTTCTATATTGGAAAAGTTCTATTACCGGATTGCACAAGCATGTTGTAATAGAAAATTTCATTGCAAATAATTTTATTGCTATATAAGTACATTTTTATTATTATTTATAACTATATTCCAATTTTAGTTTAGAAACTTTCCATATTTTTTTTTCAAAAATTTCATTAGCAACTCTAAACCAAAGCAAAAATGTGGTTTGGACTAAAACCAAAGAGATTAGACCATTAATTTGCCAATGTTTTAGGACTATATGAGCTTTGAAGATGATAGATATTGGTGATTCCAAAACTATGAGCGTTAAAAATAAATACCAGCACAAGTCAAGTAAAAAATTTATTTTCGAAAAACGTGCGTTTCCGAATCGTGTGGCAAAAATGGTCGTGCCTCATAAAAATAATAAACTCTTGTCGTGTCTCAGGAAAATAATAAAAGATTTTTAAGGGATATGAAACACAATATTCACGACAACGATTTTTTAGTATAAATAGAGCATACTTTGATACAGGATTTAACTGTTGATGAGCTTTGTCAAGATTCAGGTAAGTCACTGGAATAGTCTGCAACTTCTAATTTTTCATATACATTTTTATTTAGTAGGGTTATTTTGAAAATAATTTATAATTACAATATTTGTCGTTATTTATTTTATTTCTTCTTCTTCTTCAAGTGCCGTCTTCGTTCCGAAGTTTGGCTATCATCAAAGCTATGCGTATTTTTGATGCTGCAGATCTAAACAGTTGGTAATTGGTGCAATTGTACCATTCTCTCAAGTTTTTCAACCATGAATGCCTTCTTCTTCCTATAGATCTCTTTCCATTATCTTTCCCTGTATAATCAATTGCAGCAACTGGTATTTATCTCCCCTCATAACATGTCCCAAATATTGTAGTTTGCGCTTTTTAACAGTAAGTATCAGCTCTTTCTCTTTCCGCACTCTCCGCAAAACCTCCACATTTGTTACTTTCTCTGTCCAGGGTATTCTTAATATTCTACGATACATCCACAACTCAAATGCTTCTATCTTTTTGGTATCGATCTTTTTCAATGTCCATGTTTCCATCCCGTAGAGGAGAACTGACATAACGTAACATCTCAAAAGGCGAATTTTAAGTTTTAGACTTAGATCTCTTCCGCAGAACACCTTTTTCAATTTAGTAAATGTGGCTCTAGCTTTCTCTATTCTGGTTCTGATTTCTTCAGAGCAATCATTATTTTCGTTGATAACAGTTCCCAGGTAATTATATCTTCTTACACGTTCGATTCTTTGATCATACACGGTTATGTCAGGAAAGTTTTGTGGTGATTTAGATATTAGCATTATTTTTGTTTTGCTTATGTTAAGTGATAATCCGTGTTCCTCACTGCATTCTACTATTTTGTTAATTAGTATTTGAAGATCTTCCCAAGTTTCTGCGATTAGTACCGTGTCATCGGCATATCTCAAGTTGTTTATTCGGATGCTATTTATCTTAATACCTTTTTTACCATTCGCCTAATGTTTCCAAATTTAAATAAACCGGTTAATTAAATTGTACCCATTTTCCTAACATCGTCCATACGTTTGATCATCTTCTTCTTCTTGTGGTGCCTATCCGTTACGGATGTTGGCTACTAGCATGGCAATTCTAACTTTATGACCGCAGCTCGAAACAGTCCTGAAGTGGCCAAGAAAAACCATTTTTGTAAGTTTTGGAGCCAAGATATTCGTTTTTTTCTTCCTAGTTTCCTCTTTCCGGCAGGATATTTGAGCCTGCGCCGTTTCACTGTGGATATAATTTCACATGTTTTATCCATCCGACATAGAACCTCAATGTTTGTTATTCGGTCCAACCAGGAGATCCTTAGTATCAGTCTATAACACCACATCTTAAACGCTTCCAGTTTTCCCATGAATGCGTCAATTAGTGTCCATGATTTAACTCCAGAGAGCAGCACTGTAAACACGTAGCATCTCAATAAACAGATTTTCGTTTTTAAGGGTAGGTCGTGGCTCTTAATATCGTGCTCATTTTGATAAACGCTGACCTGGCTATTTAAATTCTCTGTTTTATCTCAACTGAGTGGTTCCATTGGTCGTTTATGGTGGTTCCTAAATAGTAGTAACGGGGCACCTGGAGTATTTGTTGCTGATTTACCAGTAATTGACTAAGTGGAATATGCTTCTTACTGATGACCATGTACTTTGTTTTCTTGATGTTAAAGTCAAGCCCGTATTCTTGACTGATTCTCTACAATTGCGTTACTAGTGTCTGTAAACCTTCTAAACTGTCTTCAAAGAGGATGGTGTCGTCTGCATATCTGATGTTATTTAGGCGCTCACCATTTATGAGAATACCCTCTTCGATATGCTCTAAGGCCTGGCTCATGACGTGTTCCGAATAGACATTAAATACTAAAGGAGAGAGCGTACTCCTCTCTTTATTGCCACTTCATCGGTTAGTTGGTCTTTCACCCGAATGGTTGCTGATTGGTTGTAGTATATGTTCTTGATTACTCGAAGGTCTTTGTTATCCACATTCGTTGCCTTTAGTATATCCATGAGCTTATCGTGCTTGATTCTTTTAAAAGCTTTCTGGTAGTCGATAAAGCATACATAAATATCGCAGTTGACGTCTCTCTACCTTTGAAATAATACCTGAACCGCGAACAAGGCTTCTCTTGTACCTAACGCATCCCTGAATTAAAACTGCGTTCGTGAGATCTGTGACTCGCATTTCTGATAAATTCTACTGTGTAGTATCTTTAAGAAGGTCTTAAGAATGTAGCTCATTAGACTGATAATACGATGCTCTTCGCATTTTTTTGCATTGGGTTTTTTAGGTACAGTAATAAATGTAGATTTACCAGCTCTCTGGGATTTTTCCCGAGTCACAGTTTTTATTGAACGTTGTCATAAGCCATTTTACTCCTTCGCCTCCCATGATTTTTTGAAATTCTGAATAAAAGTTGTCAAGCTCTGGTGCTTTACTTGCTTTGGTTGCTTTAATTGCGGCTTTGACTTCGTCTTGAGTGATTGGTGGTCTTGTGTCGTATTCCATAATTATCTGGTTGTTATCTCTGTCGTCATCGAATGTCTTCTCAACGTATCTCTTCTTTGTTTGCTCAATGTCTATTACCGGTTAGCCATGATCATCAGTCATAGGTCCTGATCTCTTGGGTTTGTACATTCCTGCTGCCTTTTTTACCTTCTTGTGGAGACTAAACGAATCGTGACTACTTTCCAATGATTCTATTTCTCTGATTGATTTTCCAACCATTTTGTTTTTGGTTTCTCTAATAGTTTTTCTTATTTCTTTGTCAATTCGTTTATACTCCCACATGTCTCTCATTTTAGCTTTTCTTCTATTCTCTATCATATTTAGGATTTTATCCACTCTTTGTTCTTAACCGTTGTTGGGCGAAGATATTTATCTAGGATTGTCTGGTTAATTTGTTGTGGTTAATTAGTTTTGTCTGTATTTTTTAATTCTTTTCTATATAGGTTTGTATCTGGTGCCTGGTGTCTTCATTTTTTAATGATCCTAAATCGTATTTTTTTTGCTTTTGCACTCTCTATATTCTTCAGCTTTAGTCTGATGTTAACTACCAGTGGTTATGGCCCGAACCGATATCAGCACCAGGATATGTTTTGGCTGATGTTATTGAGTTTCTAAATCTTTTATTTACCATAATGTAATCATGGTTTCTGGTGATGTGATCTAAGGTGTCTTGAGGTGATCTCCAGGTATATAAGCTGGTAGTTTAAAGAAAGTGTTGGTGATTACCAGTTATTCTTTCACAGCGAAGGTGATCAGGCAATCTCCGCGTTCGTTTCGTTCCCCTAGTCCAAAGGGTCCTACGGTTTCTCCACATCTATCCTTGCCCACTTTGACATTTAAGTCTCCTATAAGCATTTTTATTTCGTTTTTGTGAAGTTTTTTCAGAACACTCATTAGTTCCGAATAGAAAGTTTCGATGTCTTCGTCTGATTTGTCTGCAGTAGGTGCATATACCTGGATTATGTTGGTTTTAACAGGGAAGGTGTTAAACTGAATAAGGAGTATTCTCTTTGAGATTGGGACGAAGTTTGTGACGTAGTTAGAGATGTTCTTATTCACTATGTTCTATTCACTATGATACCAACTCCGTTAATATGTAGGTCTTCGCTATTTCCGAAAAAATAAATCTGTTGGTCATGTGCTGTGCACTGTCCAGATACAGTCCAGCGCATTTTACTTACAGCCATTATATCGATAGTAAGTATATCCATTTCCTTAATGGCATTGTGTTTTTTGCCCTCCTCATATATTGTTCTCACATTCCACGTAGCGATCGTAATTGTTGATCTGTGGTATTTTAAAGAACGGGGATTTCTCTGGTTGACGACCTGGGGAGCCCTGTTATCCTTGTTATATCTCCCCCTGCCGGACCTTGGTATCTGAGAACCATAGCCAGTAAACTGTGACGTATTAATACTGATACTTGCATGCTAAGGGACTAGTTTCCTCATCGCAGTGTAGGAGATTAAAACTGCTTCAGTATGCCTCCTGGTGTCCAATAATGAGTCGGTCCAGGATTCAGGTGTTTCCAAAATTAAATAAACCTGTTGAGCAAATTGTTACCAATTTTCCTAACACCGTCAATACGTTTGACCATCTACCGTCCATTAATGTCATGTAGTTTATCTGATTTACCTGTTTTATATTTTATAGCACGTTAATATTTTTTTCGCTTAAAATTTTTGTGGCTATCGCTGGTATTGTTACTGTCTGAGTTAGTTCAACTGGCTTTTTAGTCAAATTCTTCAGTTAGCAAACTGTTTGTGTTACACTGCTTTGGCTTCCTTTTTGTGTATAACTGTTTTATTCTTTTCGTCTATAAAACGTCTAAATCAATAGAAATTCTTTATTGTTTTCTATACAAAACAAGTGATTTTTGGTGATTAAAAATAAGTGAAACAAGTGATCTATAGTCAGTCCAGTCATTCTTTTCTGTCTTGCTCCTATTTGATCGTATCTCCCTACCATTTGTCTGACTGCCTCTAACTTTTATCGAATATCTTTATTGTTTTTTGACACCCTACGACTTTTTGTGCCAATCTTGCGTGTCGTTCTGTGTCACTCTCCAAATCTGGAAGTTGACAAACCCGCATCAAGTCACCTTCGCTTCTACAGGCGGCTTCCTCTGGAATTTCCTCACATTGACGTAACTGCAAAAACAACAAGCAAAAACACAAAGAACGCCGTAATGTCTAACTTCTTTAGTACTCCAAAGATTCTTAGCCAATTCTCCATTTGTTTTGACTTGAGTGTATTTCTCACATTACGTTTATTGCGTTTTAAATAATATTTTTATATATTTTTTGTAGAAATAGCATAATGAAAGAGTTTCTTCTTATCACTTTTCTTGTTGTGGCATCGCCAAACTGGATGAATATGAGCAATGGATCTCTAATAAGGTAAGTCTATTTTTTACTTCTTGCATCGATACATATGCCACTTAACGTAATTATAGAAACGGTGAATAAGCGCCTCAGGCAAAAAATGTTTGGAAACTTGCCCTTTTTTGTTTGAATTTGATATTATTTATTACTGAAACAATTACATATTATAATTATTAGAACAATAACCCTTTATCAGAAATGGCGCAAAAAGTGCCAGTATTACTTTGTTAAATGTTTGTTAAATGTTAGTTACAAGGAGAAAACATGTTTAATGAATAGTAAATTAAAGTTTTTTCTTAATTGGCTTTGGCAGTTTGCCATACAGCCAGTTAAATGATCTTTTAATCTTATTAGCCACAGTAAAAAGTTTTTAAATTTTTTGCAATCAAATAGACTAAAATAAATAAATTTAAAGTTGAGAAATCAGTACAATTAATGAAAAGAAGAGAATATATATATATATATATATATATATATATATATATATATATATATATATATATATATATATATATAGTAAACTCTTAAATATTGGGGAAATCTGCAAGAAAAACTCTAATGTGTATCAATTATTTCGCCGAACGTTTTCGCCAAAGAGAATTAATTGGCTTCTTCAGGGCTGAAAGAGAATAAATTATAATTAGCTACCATATATTATCTAATAAAAAACATTTATCTTACCGTAAATTTTAGAAATGTCTGGTTAGGATGTTAAAAAACTTAGCTAGTAACAACATAGTGGTGTTTTTTGTTACTAAAGAGAAATAACACTTACTTCTCTTTTAATGGTAAATTCTATCAACAAACTTTCGGTACCCCTATGGGAGCAAAGATTGCTCCTATCATTGCAACTTACGTTATGGATTATGTGTTAGACTCAGTCATTCCTTTACTATCCTTTCAAATTCCATTTATAAAAAAATATGTTGATGATATAATTTTGGCTATACCCAATGACAAGGTAGATGAACTATTAGACACTTTTAATAGTTATGACCCCTACATCCAGTTCACTATAGAGAGGGAAGATGGTAATTGTTCCGTCCTCTTTCTCGACATAAAGATGATTAGGGAAAACAACAACATTAAAATAGATTGGTATCAAAAACCGACCCATTCTGGTAGATACCTTAACTACCACTCTTACCATAATAATTCTACCAAAGTCAACTTAATCAAACAGATGAAAAATAGAGTAATAAAACTATCAGATCCTTCATTTCATACAAAAAACCTACAAATCCTTCAGAAACTGTTTATTTCAAACTCTTATCCAACACCATTAGTAAATAAGATTTTGTTTAACACTATCCATAACGAAGATACTTCACCTTCCATCGTGACTAACAATGCTGATCCTGATGTCTTAAGTGGGAACCCAGTCTCGGATACTCCTATCAATAAATATTTTTCAACACCCTATTTCAGAGATATCACTCCGGGGTTAACAAGGATTCTAAAAAGTGTTGAAAATAGCTTTGGGAATAATAATAATATTAAACTTAATGTGGCTTGTAGATCAGCCTTAACAATTAATAATCTTTATTCGAAGATAAAAGATAAGACTCCCATAGATAGGCTTAGTAATATTGTCTACAACATTCCATGCCTCTCTTGCAGCAATTCCTACATCGGCCAAACATCTCAATTATTGAAATCACGTATTACACTACACAAAAGTGATTCTCGACTTCACCCTGACCGCTGTGCATTAGCCAAACATGTCCATTCCACTGGTCATCTCATGGACTATACGAACACTACAATTCTCCACCGTGAGAACAATAAATCTAAAAGAGAGTTCATTGAAATGTCTTATATTTTCCTTAACGATTTTTCCATCAATGTTAAGAGTGACATTAAGAATCTAAGCGATATATACCACTTCTTACTTAAATCAGATACCATGAATAATACAACATCACAGATAACTAACTTGACTGATATATCTATTAACAACTAACCTACTTTAATAATAATTTTCATTAATTAAAAAAGATAACATTCCCTTGCTTTTCTTAGATACATCTCAATAAGATATTATTATAATAATACATGAACAATATACTAATTAAAAAAGAATTTCAATTAAGAAAATTCTAAAATAATATCTCCCCAAACTGGGATCTAACTTCATCAGTTTTACCAATGAAACTTAACGACATAAATATTCAAAAGCACTACTTGTAATTGTCAGCGCTTGCATTCTAAGAAAACAGAACCTCACATTCAAACTTTATAACAATCAAAAATTTAGTTATTGTCGACATATCAAAGAATTACTTCCTTTAAATTTAGTTACATTGGGTGTTTCGATTAACCTTGAGTAAACCTTTGCGTTTTAAGTTCAAAGTTATAACTTATACCATACATATCCAACGTTAAAAAAAACTTTTTTGCACATAGTAACAAAAAACACCACTATGTTATTACTAGCTAAGTTTTTTAACATCCTAACTCGACATTTCTAAAATTTACGGTAAGATAAATATTCTTCTTGCAGATTTCCCCAAAATTTAAGAGTTTACTATTTAACTTATCTCCAAAGATTAATTTCTTTTCTTTATATATATATATATATATATATATATATATATATATATATATATATATATATATATATATATAAACATATGTTACGAGCAAAGCCCGAAATTGGACAATCCTAGCATTGTACGGAAATTATTGTCCACTTCTAGCATTGTACCCCCAAACTGTACAATGTCCGAAATGATCAAATTTAAAAATGATTGTCGAGACGCTTCTCGATTCGAATCGATTATTATTGACAAGCGACACATCAAATCAAAAATCGAACATTTCTTGTTAATTATTTGATATTTTTTATTTTCTATTTTACATACAAAGCTGTACTTTTTTGAATCGACAACGTTATAAAATGCTGTGTCAAACTAAAATATAAATAAGAAGAAATTGTTCTGCCATAGAGTGATAGATAAAAGCACATAAAAGTAGGTATATAAAAAGTTCCGTTAAAGAAATGAAGGACAGTTTTGTATTTGGCAGTGTTGTCCATTGTCATGTCGTTTTAATAAATCGCGAAAGAGCATGCGACATAATGTTAATTAATTTTATTAAACATTATTTTTAAGTTTATAAATGAAGTTTAATTAAATTTAATTTAATATATTTCAAGTTCCAGCAACTAACTAATAGATTAATTTAGGATTTATATCGTAATTGATGTTTGTTTGTCTTTAATATCAAATGGGGAATAATCATAAAAATAATCGATATCTGTCATATTCTTCCAAACTTTGACGCATTGCCACTTATCGACTTATTGAAATTCGAACATTGTACAGCAATTCCTTTATACAAAGTCCGACGATTATGTCTATTTCGGAGATTGTACAGTAACGGGGTACAATGCTAGAAGTGGACAAGATTTTCCGTACAATGCTAGGATTGTCCAATTTCGGACATTGCTCGTAACATATATACACATACACCTATATATCCATAAACACATACAATTAATATGGGTCACTCGCTTTAAAAATTAAAGTTAAATAACATAAATAGTACCTATATTCCGGTACAAGGTCTGTTGTTAAGATGGTGTATATCGAACTCTCATTTATGCTAATGTTTTGTAAATGGGTGTTCAGCTTATTATATCGCCCATAAAGGAATCTTTCTTGAGAAGACAGCCCAGAAGCTACCTTGTGTTGTGATAAGAACTTCAATGTATGTTTTTTTTATTTTATAGATATATTTATGAAAATGTGTATTATTTATTTTTTCTTTTTCAGTTTGTTGAAAGCATTTCTAACCTGTTTTATTTCTGCTTTGATCTCTTCTCTGTAGGTACTTACTTTTTTTATTAATTACTGTTCTCAGATATTAATATTTTGAAACTTTTTTTAATTTGTTCACCATGTATTGTTAAGCTTTCTGAGCGTTGTTGGGTTTTTTTATCCCCGTAGATTGTGTCTTCTATGTGTTTAGGAACAATGTATTTTCTTCTTGACTTTTATCAACCTGTCAATAATTTCTTGTAAATCCTCGCTATTAGAATATTGTCGTCTGCGAACCGTATATTATTGATTGTCGACCATTTATTTTTACTTTCCTAGTGGTTCCTAAATTAAAATATTATCTCTGTTCGTTCATTATTTAAAAGCTTTAGGATATACTATTGCCATATTTTAAACCTTTGCTTACATCTGGAATTATTTTGTTGTTTTTATCCAGCAGTACGTTTGATTTTTTCTTATTATTTGTACCTGTTATTTTTCAAATTTTTATGATAGTTTAAGTTTTATTTGTGTCTTATATCTACTCAATCTCTTAGCCTATCTCACTGTGCGATCTTTCCTTGGTCTCTCTGATCTTTATTATTTTTCGATATGTGTAATGTTATATTATAGGTGTCTGTCTTTGGTTTTGGCAAATCTTCTTTCTTTCATAAGATCCAGAATCTCCTAGGTCATTCATTCATTTTTAGGTATTAGCGTTGCCTCACATAGTGCATATAGGAGTATTTTTCAACACGTCTCATTTCTTGTTCGCATCCGCAGTCGAAATAATTTCTTTTTAGGTCAGCTTTTTTTAAATTTTTTGTCTGACTTATTTCTTTCTCTGTTGGGTCTATTAAACGAGATACTTGTATTCTGTCTAATTTACTTTTAGCTAGAGTTTCTTTAGTTTAACTCTAAACCTTCTTACAAGTGAATTGTGGTCTGATCTCACATTAGCTCTAGAATATGTTTAAACTGATTCTAAGCAATTTCGGTATTTGATGCAGATAAGATAGTAGTCAATTTGATTTCTTATGACATTATGTTGGTTGTTTAGAGATTATCATGTGTAGAGTCTCCTGGCCGGCAGATCATAATTATGTTTTTATTCTTATTTTATTTTTAATTGAACTCTTAAAACGAAAGATGTGTCTATAGTACATAACGAGAAACATCCGGTCTCAGGCACCCGGTGCAAAAACATAAACATAGAAACATTTATTTTGATTTTGGATGCATAATTTTATATTTTTGGTTAGTAAAAAAACTACTAATGCTAATATTCTCAAAATATATTTTTTAGCACAGGGATCCTTACAAGAATATTTAAAAAAGTTACAATCTTTTAAAGTAAACACACCGATTTCAATAATCACTGTTAATTATAAAGTTAAACCTCCATTGCAGCACAATTATTCCATACTTTTCTGCTGCATCGCAAGCAAATAGTATCGCTTCATTTTATGCATTTTGTATAATGTTTTTCTCTCTTTATGAGGTAGACAGATAGATGAGGTGGTTTTGTGTTTCTAAGGTTTGCCAGGCGAAAGTTCTTCGATGGGACTTTCTAATTCTTCAGGAATGACTTGACGTGTACTTTTATCCCTACAAATATTTAGAATTAATAGAGGTCTCCTTAGATGTGGTTCTATTAGTGTCATAGCCAAACTTTAAATAAAGTGGATTCTAATTATTGAGGGATTTTGACGGTAACTCGAATATAATATGAAACTATTGACATAACTTATGTTGATTAAACTTGTAAATAAAAAAAGAGAAACTACAACAAATAAGGAAGATATTTTAAAAATTGCTCAAGACTTTTACTCAAAATTCTATAAGCGAGCAGAACTTAAAGATCCTGATCAAAATCAAATACCCAAAGTTCAAAATGTAGGCTCAGAAGACATCCCAGATATCACAACAGAGGAAATAAAATCAGCTCTCTCGGAGATGAAAAACAATAAATCACCTGGAGAAGATGGAATAGTCATTAAATAAATCAAAGAAGGAGAAGGAACGTTACTAAATATGTTGAAAAAGATGTTCAATGCTTGTTTGACAATAGGCATAACCCCCTCCCAGTAGCATATTGCAATAACAACCATAATGCACAAAAAAGGTGACATTTCAGACCTAAAGAACTACAGACAAATTAGTTTGCTTTCCCAAACATACAAACTATTCATGAAGATAATAACAAAACGGCTTGTGAACAAACTGGATAGTTACCAACCTTGTGAACAGGCTGGGTTCCGCTCCAGATACGGAACAAATGATCATCTGCAAGTTGTAAAAACGCTAATAGAAAAGTGTACAGAGTATAACAAGCCTATCTTTCTTATATTCGTAGATTATGAAAAGCGTTCGATACTATAAATCATCATAAAATGCTTCGAGCATTGGCTGACTGCCGCATTGACTACCGATATATCGCCTTGAATAAAAGTATTTACGAAACTGGTACAGCTTGTGTCCGCCTTCATGAAGATACCAAGAAGTTTCGAATAGAACGTGGAATTAGACAGGGTGATACTATCTCCCCTACATTGTTTACAGCTGTTTTTAAATATATGTTCAAGCAAATGGAACGAGAGGATAATATGGGAATTAATATAAATGGGGAAGATCTGAACCACCTAAGATTTGCCGATGACATCGTTTTAATATCTGATAGAGTTGATAAAGCTACAAAAATGCTGCACACGCTCTATAAAGTGTCAAAAACAATTGCTCTTAAAATTAACACCTCAAAGAAAAAAATTATGACCAACCTTGTAGTCAGCGGTAAAATTCTGATTGACAGCCATAGCATCGACCAAGTAATAGCTTACAAATATCTAGGGCATGAGATTCGCTTAGGCCGAGATAATCAGACAACTAAAATACAAAGAAGGATAGGGCTCACCTGGCTGCCTTTGGTAGTTTAATAACATTTTCAAGTCTATTATCTCAGTTTGTTTAAAAAGAAAGGTTTTAACCAGTGCGTTTTACCGGTTCTTACATATGGTGCAAAAATACTGACTCTGACAAAAAGAATAATAGATAAAATAAGAGTTACATAACGCGCTATGGAAAGATCAATACTAGATATTATCATCAGAGATAAAGTACCAAACCTAGAAATAAGAAGAAGAACAGCAGTCACAGATGCAGTTGAAAAAATAGCCATTGCTAAATGGGCTTGGGCCGAACATGTTGCCAGATTAATGGATGATAGATGGACCAGAAAGATTCTGGACTCGCGACCAAGGCAAGAGGCATATCGAAGCAGAGGACAACCACCGACTAGAAGTACGGATGATATCAAGCGTATCACCACAAACTGGATGCAAGAAGCTCAAGATAGAAATAGGTGGAAAATTTTACGGGAGGCCTATATTCAGCAGTGGTCAAATATAGGCTAATTGATGATTAATGATGATATTGAAAAAAGTGTAAAAGATTACTAACGGTCATCTGGTTCTTCTATTAGATGAATATAAAGCAGTTTTCATATCCAGAATGTCAACATCACCTTTTGTTTTGTTATAATATCACACAACTTCCGGTTTATTTTTATCAGGGTACGTTTCAAAAGAAATACTATTATATTAATAGCAATTCCATAAAGTGTTGATACCACCGATCTAGGTTTATTTGTTTTGAACTCTGGCGGTATAATAGTTTTATTCATCTTCATAGTGCCGACATATGTTAGAGATCTTTTTCTAAGTTCTTTTACCAGCTCCAATGAAGTGAACCAATTGTCGGCAGTACTACTCTGGTTAGATCCTTCAAGCGATTTACATAGACGTAAAACTGATTGAGTGAGTTTCAAAAGCCTTATTCATCTTTGGAAAGTCCAGTTCCGTCACTGTCTTTTCCTGTGCAAATGCAAGCATTATAGGTCAATACTATACGAGTCAGCTTAGCATTGAATCCTTAAGCCATATTTAACTGGTTTCTTTGGAATGTCCATCTGAAATCCACATTTACCTCTAGAAGCGACAACCATTCCATTCACTCTTACATTATCACTAGGAGAGCACATTTCTTTAGAGTTTTAAATGCAAGCATTGAATATTTCGGAGATCAGACCAGCATGCTCCGTTTCCTTTCTTTCCTCTTACTAATATTTCAAAGCACTTAACGAACATGATTATTTTAAAAATATGTATACTAGTTGGGACCTTGCAAATAGCTAATTCATATTTTCATGACCAGATTTAAAAATTGAAGTGAGCATAAGCAAAGCGATAAATGCGTGTACCTTCACAATATTAAGTATCTATATAATTTGATTTATTACTTTAAGTTTTAGTTTGCTTCTAATTGAAATTAATTTAGCAGTTATGCATAGGACAATTTTATTAATCATTATTACATCAAAAAATCATTTACAAATTTTTATTTTGCCAAGGTTCACTATTTGGGTAGCTTTTCTGGTAAATTCGGGAGATTGGCGAATACTGTTATGATATGGCGTTTTTTAAATCAAGAAGATGCACTTTTTAACCATTATATCTTTCTCGTGTTTTCTGTCAATAAAATACTGTAGCTTTACGTCATTTTTCTTCCTCATATTGGTTGGCCCTATTACCAATAAGTCGTTGCTCGGCTCCAAGAAGGTCATCTTCTCCAACACTTTTTTCACGTATTTCGACTTCTTCTTGTGGTACCTGCTGCTCTTTATCACTTTCTACATACTCCGGATCTATATCAGAGTCTTCAACTTCCTCGTTCTCACCAGGTTTATCGTCATTGTTTAAATACAACTCCATAATTCGTTGCTTAAAATCTTTGTCTCCGAACTTAGCTCTTTTTCTGGTTTGATGCCTTCTATTTGATTGATTTGATGCATTTCCACTGCAAGTGGAAGGAATATCCACGGTGATGGGCCCTAAAAATAATAAAAGATGTTTTGGATTTGCCACTAAGACTATATGTACAAAGTACATCCGGTCTTACGTACCTGTATGATTACTGGCGTAATGCAAAATACCCGACCTGTGAAACTTCGAAAGGAGCACTTTCAAAAATCGACTTGTACTCTAATATTTCAGATACATTATTACTTAATCGTAGATTTAACGTGTTACGTATCTCGGTAGATGCCTCGGTAGTTGATGAAAGCATATTTGGGAGGGTAGAACCGCAGCCCAAACAGGTTACCTTATTAGGTTTATTTGGTCTTTGCTGGCACCATTTTGGTTTAATCAATTGATTACATCGACATGCTTTACGCTGTCAAATTTTGCTACACATTTTATCTTCTATCTCGAAAAAATGTTGTCCATAATTTTATCATAGAGGTAATTTTTGTAGAATTCCACTGAAGAAACAAATTAACAATGAACAAACAAGATTACCTAATCTGGCAGGAAGAAGACTACATGGTAAATTTAGAAACACAGGAGAAGTGCCTTTAATCAATGTGGATAATGTGAGTTCTTACAATCAATTACTGGATACTGAAGTTTTTTACTTTCTTGTTTATAAAATGGTTAAAAATTTATAATTTTTTTTTCTAGGTTGATTATTATGGAGAAATCGGTATTGGAACTCCTCCACAAAAGTTCAACGTAGTTTTTGACACCGGGTCTCCTGATCTTTGGGTTCCTTCGTCCAAGTGCATAACACTTCCGGATATAAAAAACGGTTGCCGTAAGTTTATTTTATTGTACTTATTATATTGTACGTATTATTTAAGTACTTGTGACTCGTTTGGAAAAAATATAAAACTGTTTTTGATGGGTTGAAGTCAATAAAAGGGGCTATTTGTTGACTATTTTTTACTCGAGCTTTCAATTGTGATTACAATTTTTATCAAGAGCTTCTAAAAAATACAAAATATCTTACAAAGTTGAACTAGAAATAAAAAATTTATTTTTTGTTAACTCACCAAATAAAATTAGTTTTTTATATAAAACTACTGCTTACATATTAATTACAAAAAATATTAATAAAAAAATGTCTTATTCTAATAAATGTTTCTCTGAAAAATTTTGATGAAGTTTCTTAACAAAAACAATTGAATTTGTAAACAAAAATAGAATAGCTACAAACCAGCCTAAATGTCATAATACTAACTTAAAAATTTTTATTTTTGACATATGTCAAAATAAAATTTTGTTTAAAAAATTCTTCTTTGTTTAGTAACAAAAAAGAAGAAGATTTATTCACCATTGACAGATGCCCGAAAAAATGTAACAAATACATGGAAAATTCAAAATGTGATATTTTACTGACTGCATATATAAATTAAATAGAAATAATATAATTATAAATTTTGCTTAAATTTTAATTTCTGACCTTTTGTTTAAATTATTATCACTTTTGCTAATACAAACCATTTCCAAAAAAGTTCTTTTAAATTTGTTACTTTCATTACATAAAATTTTAATATTATCAAAATCCATAATATGGTCTTTGTCTATTACATGCTCTGCCAAAGCACAAGATGGTTTCTTAATTCTACAATCACTCTTGTGAGAAATAATGCGATTTGAGAGATTTCTTCCAGTCTCACCAATATACTCAGCTTCACACTGAGTACAAACAATGCTGTATACTACATTTGTTTGATCTAATTTGTCTATAGGATATTTAGTTTTGGAAT